AAGTTAAAAATAGATAAAAACGAAATTTGTATGAGAGAAATTCGCATAACTCATAATCGATTTTACGATATACCTAATGGAAGAAGAAAAAAAAAAAAAGAATTAATAAAAAAAAGGTATTTGTCGATCCATTTATAAAAATAATAATAATAATAATAATAATAAAAAAAAAATCAATTTCAATGATTAAAATGTTAATTCTAATGCATCGTAATTAACCTGATTCCAATTCTTTCATGAATTTCTCTTTTTCAAGTTGTTTACATTTAGTTTTTATTTTCTTATATGGATATTTTGAAAAGAACAAACACAATAATACAATTTCGAGTCTGTGATTAAACGTTGAACAAAGATGAATGAATTAATTAAAAGAACTCTCTGAATCTCGATAGAGTCATAGAAAAGGGTGACAAAGCGTTTATTGAGAGAATATATAGGGTCAGTTGATATGTTGACATCTATGAATAAGTCGTTTTGAAGATTTACAGTGTGTCTAGGAAGTAGTTCGTTGTGATATGTGAGTTTCAATTATCAACGAACGAATGATTTTATAACGATGATTATATTCATTCAATTTCTTTTATTTCACATATCTAATAATTAAATAAAAGATTATTATTATTATTATTATTATTATTATTATTTGTTTATCACATTTCTATGGTGAGTCAAATTGACAAGTAGAAGATTAGATAGATGTAATTGTATGATTGGCAGGCAGAGCTTTCGTCCAAAATGACCGATAAGTCCATGTCAGTCTTCTCATGACGTTTATATACGTTAGTACATCAAAATTCTTAGTAACTTGTTGGAAGTATGTGTTTATGTGTGTACATGTATATGGAAGAAAGGCACGGCCGAGATCCTTCGACGGGGAACAGACCGGATATTCTCCCCTTCATTCGAACCTACATTTCTTACATTACACTCACTCACACACTGTTACATTGACCCTACTTCAGTTATCTTAAACAATATTTAATTCAATTATAACGATTGACCATATATATATATTTCATTACACATGAAATTTTTCACGAAACTTTCATTAGCATCTATCTCTGTGTCTGTGTGTATGTGTTCATGTGTGTAATTTAAAAAAAAAAAAAAAAAGGATCATATAAGATTGTTTTAGATGAAAAGAATCGAAATTATAAAGTCGAGTGGTTTGAGAATCGCGTTGTCCGCGTCGGACGTCGTCTCTTAATCGAGTTACATGGGATGAATGGAGTCACTGTGATACTCTCGGATGCTGCAAACGTGTGAGAGAAATCGTCCACGCATTTATGTATTATTATACACCCTCCTCCTTCCCCTCTCCCCCCCCCTCAACTCCACCCCGCCCCCGCTCCTCTCCTTTTTATCGTATCATTTTTCTTTAAAAATTAGAAGGCCATTTCTTTATTCTTTTATTATCGGTTATTGACCTTCCTTTGTTATCTGTTTTTCTCATTAATTGTATAATTTGTTATTTTTAATTTTTCTTTGATAATATTAAAACCTTTATTTATATATATTTGTATAATAATAATTAATTAAGTTAATATTTATTTTTATATATTATTTAATTTTATATACTAAACGTTGTATTTTAATTATCGTACAACAATTTATTCTTAGCCCTAGAAAGTATAATATTATTTTTTTGTTTCTATTAAACGTGTACATTTTGTTATTTAATTTATTTATTAAAATAATAAATAAAAGTATATGGTACACACGACACTTATTATTATTTTTTTTTTTTTTAACATAAAGTATTCCATTATCAAATACAAAACTTATTAATTGTATAATTTATTATTTTTAAATTCCTTGATAATATTAATACCTATATATATATATATATATATATATATAATAATAATAATAATAATAATAATAATAATAATAATTAATCATTAATCTTTGCTTTTATATATTTTATATATTATTTAATTTTATATATATATATATATATATATATTTGTTTTATATACTAAACGTTGTATTTTAATTATCGTACAACAACAATTTATTCTTATCCCCTAGAAAGTTTAATATTTTTTTTACTATTAAACGTTAACATTTTGTTATTTAATTTATTAATCGAAATAATAAATAAAAGTATGTTACATACTCTATACTTATTTTTTTTTTTTAAACGTAACGTTCCATTATCAAACACAATACTTTGTTAATATCTTTTGTATTATTATCTTTAGAAAAAAAAAAAAAAAAACAAACAAAATGATCACCTCGTACTCGTCATAGATTTTAACGCGAATTATTAGTCGTTCCTGACAAAAGTAACGATTAGCGTGAATTTTACGTTGAAACACCGACAATAAATTGCTTTGGTGTCACTCAACAATTTGTTTTAATGAATCGGCAAGCCGGAAAAAGAAACATGCAGCAACATAACCGGCAGGCAAACAAGCAAGCAAACCAGCAAGCAAGCAAGCAAACAAGTAGACAGGGATGTGGCTAGCTCGATCGTAATTCAAGTAGGGATCAAGTGCTAATTGGCCTCGTTAGAACAACGTTGAGTTAGTATAGCTTACACTCTATGGCGCCTTCTAATTATCATTTTTTTTCAGAACATTCATATCGCAGTAAATGATGCTGCGAAACGTGTCGTAGTGGAATGCACTTCTAACGTTTTGTCTTTACTTTATTTTCATTTAATTGACACCTAACTGTGACGATGATTTTCTATAAACAACACATATCATAGTTTATACATTATTAAGTAATTACAAATTAATTTAAAAATGTTTCATTGGAATGAAATTTGATCAATAGAAATTGTTCAATAAGATTTCAGATTTCTTTCCAAGAAAAATACAAGAACAACGAGATTCAATTAGCTATGGTGACAAGACACACGATGATATAGTTCAGTGTTTAACACTAATTATATTTAAATACTATTTCTACCACGATTTTGTGTAAGACTTAAATATTACAAATATAATTAATATAATATAATAAATTATTATATATAATTATATTATATAAAAATATTAAATATTAAAAATTAACACATTCGCGACCTGACACATTTTTACCTTTTTTAATACTGAGTACCGACAAAAATAATGAATTAATTTCAATTTATATATTTAAATAATATAATATAATAAAAAATAGAATTATATTTAAATATTAAATGGAAATAATTAAATATAAAAATGTATTTTTATCAAAGTTTTCTAAATTTTAAATGACGTGAATTCACGTCAACGGTCGCGAATGTGTTAGGATTTTGTGTAGGACACATAATATAAAAATTGGATCAAAAGATTCTTAAAATACATGATAATCGAATGATTTTGATTGGGAAAAAGCATTTTTTTTTTTTTTTTTTTTTAAAGAAAAAATATATGCATTTGTTTGTCACTTATTAACAGGTTTGTTTTGATGTCAGTTACGAAAATAGTATAATATCATACGTTTCATTTCCACGAAAGAAATTACTCATGACAAATTTCACAAACATGTGCCAAGTGTACCTGCTGTGTTGTAATATGGGTAATAGTGGTTACAGTATCCTAAAGATAAAACATTGCGAGAGTGACATACGGGCCCATGAAAGGATGTGGCTTTTCTTTCTCAATAAATATGAACAATTATTATGCTCGTTGCAAATCTGACGACGACGACGACTATTATTTCCATTCATAAAATAAAACGCAACGCGTTATAAATCGTGAAGTGATGATGTATGCGTTAGAGCGAATACAACTACAATTCTCTAGCTATTGTTTGACGACAGAAGAAAAAGAAAAATACAAAAAAAAAAAAAAATCCGATTTCTAGGAAATATTAGTTTGAGTACGCGTTTATTTTTTAACAGTTCATTCTCTTCCTCTATCTTTCTTTGTCTCTATTTCTCTTTCTCTTTCTCTTTTCATCTTTCTCTTTGAGATATCCAACAAATTGTTTAATTACGCGACTCACGAGCTTGGAATTTCTCAACGATGAGCTCACAGCTCACCACACGATGATCTTGCTTCATAATCGAAATTTCGAAGTAATGCGTTTCCCTACCCTCTTCCTCCTCCTCCTTCTCCTCCTCCTCTTCGTAAAATGAGATATCTATTGCTTTTGTGAGATAACACGGTAGTTACTTTACTTTGTCGATAAAGACAAAATTGATAACGCGAAAAATGCTATTTTAGCACGTTTCGTGTTATCTCTTTGCAACAATTCAATTGTAAACTATATATATATATTTTTAGTAGTTTAATATTCTAAATATTAGCTAATATAATATTATATATATATAACAATATATAATAATAAATAATAATATATAATAATAATAAATAATAATATAATATATAATAACATAGTATAATTATATATATAGTATTAGTAGTATTAGTATAGTATTATAGTATTAGTAGTAGTAGTAAATTATAATAATAATATATAATAATATAGTATAAAAATATACATATAAATATGTAAAAAGGAGCAATAAGTATTTCAGGGTATATTACATTTTATTTTTATTCTATAATTCCACCACAGATGATCTTTTGGTCCACAGAATCTTTGGGTCCTATACAAAATCATGATAAAAATAGTATTTAAATATAATTAGTGTTAAATATTGAACTACATCATCGTGTGTCTTGTCATCGTAGCTAATTGAATTTCGTTGCTTGCTCTTTAAAAAGAAAAAAAAAAAAAATGACCAAATGACGTGACACAGAAAAAAAGAAAACTTGGGCTTAACTTAAGGAGAGAAGTATTAAAAAGTACGAAAGTCGATATGTGTCTTTTGTCATTAAAAAGCAACAAGAGCAAGAAGAAGGTAAATGTAAGGGAATATAACTACGGGTTGGCAGGAAGTATCCTGTTACGTTATAGGCGTATTTATGGTTGCTATACTTTGAGAACACGACCATATGTCGTTGAGAGGAGAATCCTTGAGGATCCTCCAAACTTTCTTCTTTTTCTCGGATACAACCCCCACCCCATCCCACCCCAATACTCATCCAAGGATTTACCTTAACCATAGCTAAATTCGAGACTCCTGAACTTCTCCGCGTTAATGACGTTAACATGATGATGAAGAAAAAAAAATATATGAAAAGAAGAACTGTAAGAAGAAGAAGATGAATGAACGAACGAACGAATGAAGAAAAAGATGATGATGAACATAAAGAAGAATGAAAGGGAAATAAGAGACAGTAGCCAAGGACTGTCTTCTGTTTTTAAGCCAAGACGAACCACTTTACGACTGTTTATAGCACTCGAACTTGAGTCTAAGCAGCAGCAGCAGCAACAGCACCAGCAATAACAGCACCAGCTATAGTAACACAGTAGTATAGTAGTAGTCTTAACATAAGTCACGACATCATTTTTCAACGTTTTTCTGTAAAATCCGATAGCTAAATACAGAATAGGAATTAAGAATAGGAATAATGGTCGGCTTGTGTATCATAAATCATGATAGTTCTTTTTTTTTTTTTATTTCTTTTCTAGGTATTTTTAAATGAAATACTTCACAATAAAAACTTTCTTGTTAATTAATTAGAAATTCAAATAGAAAACAAAACTATGGGAATAAGAATAGGAATAGTAATGGTCAGCTTGTGTACCACAAATCATGAAAGTTCTTAGTTTTGTTTTTTTAGGTACCTAGATGAAATACTTTGGTAAAACTTTTTTGTTAATCAATAAGAAATTAAATTCAAATAGAAAACAAAACTATGGGAATAAGAATAGGAATAGTAATGGTCAGCTTGTGTACCACAAATCATGAAAGTTCTTAGTTTTTTTTTTTTTTTTTTAGGTACCTAGATAAAATACTCCAATAAAACTTTTTTGTTAATTAATTAGAAATTAAAATAGACAACAAAATTACAAAGAAAAATACTCACTCGTACGACAAGGAGAAAATTCTTGAGTTTCGTTGAAATTTTTGTCGACGACCCAACAAGTACCAACTGGATCTCTTCGATTACCAGCTCTAGGTTCCTTCACTGATCTAGGATCTTCAGGATCGTATCTTGGTTGTATAAGGGAGAACCAAATATATCTTGGTGCGCATGCCTGTAACAAAAAGAAAATTGTTGTTAAAGTCAACTTAAGTCAAGTCAAGTCAAGTCAAACACATCATACGAGTTTATTTCTTCATTCTTATAAGTATTTTCTCTTCTCTGATGCATGCATGTATGCGTGCATGCATGTGAGTATTTGAATATTTGCTTTATTAACTCGATACAATGCTCGTAATAAAAACAATCATTTTAACAAGTAGTAGTAGTTATAGTAGTCTTCATGATCACGTTCAATGCCTAACAACGTTCAAAGTTTCACGATGATGATGAACTTGATTTTATTATGAAAAAAAGAAATAATGTGTGATCATATAAATGACGTCACTTTGTATACTTACTTTCCAAGTTCATGGATAATTATTATTAGCATACGTTAGAATATTTTACGTAACTCGTATAGATCATTGCTGTATTTAGAAATTATCTTAACTAGTATAATTAACTACTGTATATGTGTGTGTGTATATGAACGTTACTGAACCGTATCTCGCATTAACGTTTTTATCACGAACTCAAATCACGAAACGCAAGAACGCTTTTTCACTATCAAGATGATATAATCGAAATAACTTTAACGAAGCGAGAAATAACGGTTTTGATAACAACCAAAAATAATTCATTCATACCACCATTTTGTATATTTATATCTATTAAATAATAACATCGATGATTATCATGACGAATTCATCCTGTTCAACTATTCACCGAACCCTTCTACTCGTTCTTTCTGACTCGATAATAATCCAATCGGGTTAAGTCGATCTTTTGTAATTTATTATTAGCTAACAGAAGCAACCAATGACCTAAGGGGAAGATAATAAATAGTAAGACAGGTGAAAAGAATTCGATTCTCTTGATATTTTTCTTTCATTTTTTACACTATACCAATACGTATAATAAATCGTTATGAACTAAATCAAAAGAAATAATAATAATAATAATAATAATAAAAAGACGAATAAACGAAGATAGTTGCATTCCGAAAGGTTGCCTTGAGCTAACACATGCATAATTCTTATTGTTCGCATTTTCAACACGTTAATATTTTAATCGTTTTTCAAGGTTGGCCCGTGTAAACGAGCCTTAACGAGCTTCGAACGTTGATTTCAGATGCATATACACACACATACATACATACATACATATACCAGAGGTAAAACCATGCACGTGTTACTAGTTCTCTCTTTTTCTCTTTCTGTTGTTAACCCTTTTGAGGAAGAATTATACGAATGCATACACCGGTTTCATTGGATGCACGCAACACACAGGGCAATATTAATTGCGAGCCAATTAAGGGCCCAAGTTACAACGAGCTTCGTCGTTATACGCACGCAATTCCCTTTATGTATCTGGGACACGTTGTTGTTGTTGTTGTTGTTGTTGTTACACTGAAACCAGGGTGTTGTTCTACACCCACTATATATTCCCAATCTATCTATCCTTATTTTAATCAAGAATTACGAGAGAGAGAGAGAGAGAGAGAGAGAGAGAATTCTAATCGAATCATTTTATGAAATTAAGTTGTTTCACGCGAAAATCATTCTACGAATTAACTCAATTTGTTAAATTAATTTCATAAAATAATGTTTAATATATATTTTGAAACGAATGATCAGAGTATTGCAATGAGAACAGATGGTTAAGTACCAATGAATGAACATGAAAGAAATGTGAGAGAGAGAGAGAGAGAGAGAGAGAAGACAATGAGCCAAAGTAGTAGCATAATTTATCCATTGAGCCAGTTTAGGTCAATCTTTCAAGGTAAAACGTATTGAGAATAAAAAAAAACGTCGAAATATTTTTAGACCAATCAGAATAATTCCAATGAGAACAGATGGTGTACCATTCAATCGAACTTTAACGAAACAAACACGAGAGAAAAGCATGTTGTGTTATTAAAGTAGAATAATTTATTTATAATACACCTTTGATCGTTAAAGATGTAAAACATAATGAAATAAAATATGATTAATATATTTTTTAAATAAATTAAAATCATGTTGCCCGTACATCATATTAACAAAGATAAAACAGACAAATACAAAATGATGAATGAATCAAAATAACGTAATTTATTTAATGATACTTATAAATTTTGTTCAATATATAGTTGAAGTTATAAACATATTGAAAAAAAAAAGAAAAAAAATATATAGTTATAAAATATCATTTCAAACAAATCAAAGTATTCTAGTTAGAACAGATGGTGTGTTGTGTGTATCATATGAACATAATAATAATAAAAAAAAAAGGAAAAAAAGGTAAAAAATAAATAGAAAGAAGACGATGAGATGATGATGAGACAGTCAAAGTAAGCGTAATTTATCCATTGCGCCAGTTTAACTTAATCGTTGAAGGATTACCGCTATGATAAACGTTGGAGAGGAAGACAGTAGCAAGGAACAGCATGATGCATCACATCATCACAGTGTGTCTGAACTCAATGCCGTACTTGACGGTGAAGAGCAGCAAAGAAGACCCCCGTTAAGTACGTTCTCGAGCACATTTCTACTTTCGGTTTGTGTTGTGCTATGTCGTCCAAGAGAAAATAATGGCGGTAGGAGAGACGATGAGTGAAAAAGAGAGAGAGAGAGAGAGAGAGGGGCCCTAGCAAGCTAGGGGACACTATGTTGTGTCGTCGTCGTCGTCGTCGAAACCCGTAAACGGAAAGAAACGGTTTATCGGTAGTACCAAATAAAGAAACCTTTAGCGATTCCTTTCACTGGTGCCGCGCGGAATTCGGCCGAAGAATCGAACGAAAATAAAAAGAAGAATAAAGGAAGAAAGGAAGGAAGACAAGAAGGAAGGAAGTCATCGAGATCAACTGAAACCATGAGAAGAAAGAACTCGGCCGAGCAAGTCTAGGGAATTCGATTGCAAACGGTTCTTTCCTACTTTTATTCGATCAACGACTATCTTTCATTTCAAATAATACTATTACCATTCTGTTTCAATAGATTCAACATTTTAAATTATCTTCTACTTTTTATTTTTTTTTTTTTTTTTAATTTTTTTTTTAACCATTTTTAACCACGAAACAGTTCTCTCGTTGTTTTCTTCTTTTTTTTTTGTTTGTTTTTTTTTTCTGGATAGAATATCTGATTTCATAGAAAACGATAAAGTTGATTTTGTTGATACAAGATTATAAATTATTTATATTATATAATAATTAAATTATTATTTTAATGGTCTAGTTAATTTATTATTTTCATAGTTTTTATAAATTTTAATAATTTATAAGTTTAATATATGTATAAATTTTTTATTCTTTATTTTTATCTTTGTTTATCCACTAACGAGTGTCCTTTATTTACTTGGATCACGTTTCTTTTTTTGTGTTTTTTTTTTCAAAAATAATCATGTAACTAAATATTGTTATTTAGAACGATTGAAACGATTGAAAATTGATAAAGAAAATGATTATATGTATTTTCAAATCCCATTACAAACAAATCTAATTTGTTTCAGAATGATAAGAAACTACTTTTAGTAGATAAAATATTAAAAAATATTGACATGATAAGAAAATAAGAAGGAGGACACAGAGTGACAATAATTTGCTAAACGTTTCAATTTTTCTTTCGTTTATTATTTTATATCGAACGAAAAATAATTCATAAGATGATATTTGATAAGAATGATAGAAATAGCAAACATATGAAATAACTCCAATCTCATATATAACATCATCTATGAGAAATCAAGGAATAAGATTTTATTCAAGAAATACGATATGTATCAAATTTGTATGATTTGTTCTTATTTTCTTCTTTTACTTTTAACGATCACTTAAATACGATCTGTATGAACAACTCGAGGACCACTCAAGGTAGCTTTAAAACATGGCTAAAATAACATGGTGTTCCTTTAATGTCTTATTCGTCGAGCCACTTCACAACCTTTCAACGAGCATATCTCAGTGAACGGGGTAAGACAAAAGTGTGAAATATCGTTCGTTAATTTAACGAGTAAAAAATATAATACATTCACATGTATATCCTATGTATAAAAATGTGCATATATACGTACAATTACACATACATTTACATAGACACAAATAATGTATACATAGAACAATGAAAATAATAAATACAATTTTACGTGATGCATTATATTATTATGACTAATATTATGAATCATTATTTTATATATATATATATATTCATATTGACACGTACACACATGCAAATAAATTCATAGATAAATTTATAAAAATAAAAAATAAAAAAATAATAATAATTTTTTCTGTGGTAAGACGTGTGGAAGGAAGAAACAAGCGTCGTGTGCAGGGTGGTGGTGGTGGTGGTGTTGGTGGTGTTCAAGCCATTTACGATTCTTCGGCGAATTTTACGATCGGCCGATTGGATTCAAGCCAAGAAATTGAGAAAACCAAACGGCAGCTGATCTCTCTCGCATCGTCGTAAAAGCTCTTTTCCTTTCCACCATGTATGCATGCATGCATGCATCCACGTTGCGGCCTTTATTGTTCTTTTGAAAACGTGTAACACACGTGCGAGCACGCGCACGCGTACAAACAACACCCATGAAGATACTTCCTATCGTCACGAAATAAAAAAAAAAAAAAAAAACCCTAACTACCCAATACGAAATAAAATAGGAAAAAAGTTTGTTCAAAATTTGCTTGTCAAAAATAAAAAACAAATTTTCGAATACATCAAATGCCAAAAATGATTTTACCTTTGACACGAACAGTTTCACCATTCTAAGAAAAATCGTTGAATCTTTCTTCGAACGATAAATCTAATATAAAAGATAAAAGAAATGGAAGAGATAAGAGATGGAAAAAAAAAAAAAAAAGAAAAAAGGATGATCGTTTAAAAATGTTTAGAAATCGAAGAAAACTGAAGTTATTTTTAGGGGTGCGAATGAGGTCATCATCGTTGGTTGGCTGTACCCAACTAACTTGATATTTCTTGCGGATAGATCTTCGTTCACGTTTTAAGATAGTTGACAGTCCTTTTAAATTGGAAAGAAAAGACTCTAGGATCTTCTTCTACGTTTTCTACCTTAATACACCCTTCTTCCTATCACACATGTATATAAAGATTTCTACACAATACATCATCTTCGACGATATACCTAAGTATTTATATAACACTGAAAGCAGTGAATCAGGTTACTTCCTTTGCACGGAAGTCATTAAAAAATACAATGAGTTTTGATCTTTTACAAAGTCGATAACGTTGAGAGTTCCGAAAGGTTTAATCTTTCGTTTTTTCTTTTTTTTTTTTTTCGGATTAAGAAACCTAATCCCTGTCGAGTACAATCGAGTATCTTGAAAAAAGGGCTCGTTGAAAAGATTAAACTTAAATCCTTCATTCGAAAGTCGTGAATCATAATCCCTCCTAGTGATGACTACGAACCTATTTGTTGTAGTGTCATTTTTTTTTTTGAACAATTTCAGACAAATATAATAAAGTATAAACAACTCTAATGTGTGTGTGAAAGTAATCAAAAGATATGGGGTGAAAAAAGAAACAAACCAAAAAAAAAATAAAAAAATAAAAAGAAATTTATTCTTAATCTCATAGAATAAACAAACATTGAATTCTCACTTGACTTTTTTTTCTATTTTTTTTTATAACTGACACAGTAAATGACCCATGATATATAGTGATTTAAATAAAATATAATAATAAAGAATATAAGACGATAGTATATTTAACACTGTTCAAATATAACCAAAATGTATATGGGGAGAAAGAAAAACAAAACAAAACAAAAAAAAGGAACTGTGTAACTTTACCCTATCCCATAAAATAGAGACACATTGAACTTTGACATTGTTTTTTCTATTTTATTAAGTGACAAACGAAATGGCTCGTAATACTGAGCTCGTAAAACGTCGATCTCTTCGTTTTTGGTTATACGTACGAACACCTCGAGTCATTTTATTTAACAGACATACACAAATCAAGTATCAAATCATCAACCCTTTTTTATCTTGTGAATTGTAATCAACGACGAATTTACAATATTTCACATGGAAAATGAACTCGAATATATATTTTGTAAAAAGAAACATTTCATTACGATTATTATCCAACGAGGTAAAAATATTTTATGAAAAGGTGAAAAGTGACTTTTCTTAATATGATTCCAGGTGTATATCATTGTTAAATGTTTGTTTTATTATTCCCTATCAACGTAAGTAACAACAGATGAGATTTTAGACAAGAAAAATGAATAGAAAAAGATAGAAAAGATCAAATAAAAGGTTAAGAAGAATTATAATAAGTATAGTAGTATAGTTCTCGAGTGACAGAATAACAGAGTAGTTACAGAGTAGGATATTTACGTCATAAAGGTGGAGTCTAAGGAGTTGTTTTAGTTTCGAGGTTGACTCACCTCTTATATACTGAGTCACAACATTATTTATACATCGTACGAATACGAACATATGATTCTTGTGGTCGTGGACGTGCATAATAGCAAGAGACAAAAAAAAAGAGAGAGAGAAGAAGAAGAAGAAGAAGAAGAGTTTATGAGAGGAAGGTTAGGGAGCTTGCAACAGTCACCCAAAAAGACAAAAAAAATAAAAAAAAAACCAACAACTTAAACCATTTGTCATTCCTGAATCTTGCAATTTGTTACTGCTACATTTTATACGATTAATAGTTTTTTTTTTTTTTTTAAAAAAAGGACTTTCTTTGTAAAATTTACACGTGTAAATACTAAATGATGAATCGGACAATTTTATAAATTGATAAATTAATCTAAATATTTTTCTTATCAATTTGTTGATTAATTGAAATTTATTGTGGATTACAAGTATGAACAAATTTCATGGTGTTTTATCGTATTAAGGTTGCATTTCCTTGTTCCCTGTGACAGAGCTAACGCCGCTAAGAAGACTTCAGAGAGAGAGAGAGAAAGAGAGAAAGGGCAAAAGAGTGGTTCGTTCTTGAGGAACGAACCATCTCGGAGGAGGAGGCCACGAAAGGCTACCGCGAAGCAAAAAGGGATCGTTTAACGGGCGTCGCAATTTGTCCCCTCGACAAAACACAAGACTGGAATGCGTATTGTCTGACCGTCGGATTATCCGATCCTTTCCTTTTTCTTCTTCATCTTCTTCTTCTTCTTTTATCATCCTCTTTCTAGGACCAAGCACCTAGCGAGACAAGTTCCAGACTAGAGATGAGTTACTTTCTTTAAGACTAAATCTAAAGATGGGGGTACATGTACTATCTCTATTTATACTATCAGAAGATCGAACTTTAAAATTAAGTTTTATTTTTTTTTTTTTTTTTATAGTTGGGTACAGTTAGAGGATAATTTTGTATTGGTTTCTAATGAATATGTTTTAGCATGGTTAGTTGTAAAATGTAACTAGTATAGTTTAGGAAAAGTAAGTATATACTATTGGGTTGGCAAGAAAGTAATTTCGGTTTTCTTTATATATATATATATTAAATTATACAATATTAAATAATATATATATATTATTTATTTATAATTATAAATTATATATTATATATTATATATAATTTAATATTATATATTAATATTAATATTATATTATATATAATATAATTTAATATTGTAATATTATATTTATATATATAATTACTTACTACCAAAATTACTTTCTTTCCAACCCAATATTATAATATCAAATATTTTTAATTGTTTCTTGTAAAATTGATTTTTCATAATCTATACTATTAACATTATTATGAAGAAGTAGAATATAATAGCACTGTTATTTAACTAATATATTATAGTATTAATTATAATATTATTTAAGTTTTTTGTTGAAAAACTTAATTTCCAAGTTCGAAAATGCAATATTGAATGAATTTTTGTTAAAAAAAAAAAATAAATAAAAAATAAAAAAATAAACAACGAAAGAGATCCCAATCGAAAACATACAACACAACCAACAACATAAACCCATAGCTAGCTATTTTGAGATTTTACAAAAATATATGTCCTTTTGAAGATTTAACGCCAATGGGGTGACTTCTACTGAAGAACAGAACATTGTCCTGTCGAGTAGATTCTACAATGGCATTTCCATTCTCACGAAGAGAGTGGTTGGTGGTGGCTGCCGACAAACGACAATCTCGAATCCTATCGATCCTGTGTTAACTCTTCTCCTCTTCTCTCCTCTCCTCTCCTCCAGGGGAGGAGCGTTCACGCAAACCCAATGGGTCCTTTCGCATACGAATTCCCAAAACGGGAGAAAGTCACTACGAAAAGGGAGAGATTGTACGATGCCTGATGCAAGGGAAAGGGAGGAGGAGACCAATGGTAGACAGAAGAAGAAGAAGAAGTAGAAGTAAAAAGAAGTAAAGTCTCGAGGATTTCGTACAAGGCTCTGCTTTCAAGCCGGGTCGTTGAGGTCAAACGATTGTCCTTCGCTTTGATATCCCCCCGGCTATTTCTTTTTTACTTCATTTTTCATTCTTTTTTATTTTTTCTTTTTCTTTTTTTTTTTTTGCTTTTATCTTTCCTTTTTCCTCCCAAATTTACGTCTTTCTAAATCGTTTGGATTCACGACTCTCAAATTATTTTATATTCGGTGTTATAGATATCTTTACAATTGTATACTAAACAAATGTGTATTAAAATATTACACGTAATATCATTCTGTGACTGTATAATTTAAAAAACTTTGTTTCGTTCTAAAGATTCACGATTTTAGAATTATTTTATTCAGTRTTATAAAATATCTTTACAATTGCATAACTTTGTATTAAAATATCACGTGTCAAATAATTCTGTAATTATAATTCTTATACAGTTGTATAATTAACAAACTTTGTAKTATTATTATAACTTATGACAGAAATATTGGACACCTTCCAACCTTTGAATCCGATTGCTAATTAAAACTTATTACATTGGTCTTACTCGTCGTAAATCTCGTAACTAAACGTGCTAACATTAAATCGAACTTCAAAAAAAGAAAAGGAAAAAAGAAGAAACCCCTAAAAGAGTGACATGATTTACAAGTTCCTTAACACACAGAGAGAAAGTTTACTATTACAAAACGTTCTTTTTTGAATACGGGGGTTTAAAGTATTATTAGAAATAGTTTTATAAACAACACTGGTGGGGCGAGGGGGAGGGGGGGAAGTAAGAGATCACCATCCGAAAATACTTTTTTGTATTTTCGTTCAAATAAAAAGACAACGGAGCAGAAGTTGTTACGTACGAATGAGTATTCGAACGAACGTACTCGGAAGCTGTTTTCTGTCGAGTCTCCTTCGTCAAGTCGTTTGCCCTTTTAAACGCGACCTTTCTCTCGGAAGCAATTAATAGAAGGTAATTATCGTGGTAGCTAGCTCTAGCTTTAGCTTTGACTCTTGTCTTTGTCGTTGTTCGTGTTTGTACGATGTACACGGTGCGAAACGCACGTTGTTTGTTCGAGGAAGAAGAAGAAGGAGAAGAAGAAGAAGAAGAAGAAGAAGAAGAAAAATGAAGAATAAGATGAAAACAAGGAAGAAGGTAGTACAAGGCTAAGTTCACTTTGAAATCAGTCATTACGGAAAGAAACGGTACAAAAGACAATTCTTCTTGATTACCTATATTGCGTT